GTAGACTAAGTTTCATTTTACTAGATAAATAGAAGGACCGAAGTACGGCAACAACTTTATGTTTCTAAGATGGGATGCGTTAACAGATAAACTAGATACGCTACTGATATTGCTGTGAGTATCTGCTTTTGTGCCAAATATTGCATAGAAATTTCTCATAAAATTATGTCAATCCGGATTTTATTGTTTTGCCTTGAAATTCATGCCTATCTATGAGATGTTGAAGAGTGGAAAAAAATGGTGTTCGCCTCTTAAGATGCAGAAATAAAGCCCTCTCTTCAATTTTCTGCAAGTAATATCCCCATCGGCCTAACAGAGAGCAACTAGAGCTCAACAACAATCAATTTTTAGAGTTTAGTGCCCGCTACAACAAGCACACTTGAAAGCGCTTCTTTCATATTGGCCTGGTTATTCGGCTAGCTACAGAACCAAGCTGCTGAATAAGTTGGTCTTGGCTAATCCATGGCACGTTTGACTCTTATCATTTAATGTTTCATTTATTGTGCGAAATCAGGCGAAACATACTCTTAGGTTGGTGTCCTCAGCCTCCGGAAGAGGATTGCTTTGTAATAGTGGGTGTTGATTTAAACTTAGGCGTCCAGGTGTGCTATCCTCTGACCCTGATCAAATCGTATTATTCTTTTAACAAATTCTCTTAAACCCTTTGCCAAGAATTTTTAAAGATTATTAATAGAGTTATTATACTCCGGTGAGACAGATAATAAGGCATTATTGAGGAACCAAGGTCGGAGGATAGTGCACTAGGCTCATTTTTATAGGCAGAATTTCGATAATTCCTCAACTGGTTACTGGTAGGACCAAAATAATCATTTTTTCACCAAACCTTTCGTGCGAAAAAAAGGTTTCATTATTACATACCCGATGCGCACGCGCATAACGCACACACATACAACTTGAGTCCTCAGTCATGACACAAAAGTGAAGCTAAGACACACAAATTTTCTCATATCACCACCATCACTATCAGGCCTTTGGTCCAGACTCCAGTCTGAGCGAGTATATCAACGACGGTTGGAATCAACTCGACTGTCTGGCGATTGCTTGCTATATCATAGCTCTGGTACTCCGTCTGCTGGCCTATGCCAATGTTCTTGAGGAGGTCGAGGCCCTCAGGCAGACGACAAAAACGAACCTAAATTCTACCGTCAACTTCAGCCTGCATTCGGATCAGCATCTTTCGACATACTCAAGCAATTCACCAATGCAGAACGTCTTCATCATCCCGGAATCGGTAGGATCTGTTAGGGAAACCGTTACGACGGAGATAACGCCATTCATACAGAGTCAAATTTCGCAAGTAAACCCAACTGGCCGAGTAAAGCTGGAGGATTTCTACGGTCTGACCTCATCGGCAGACGGCGCGGATGGATCACTCAACGCCCTGACCAAGTGGAATGTACCGTTGAGGCTCACGCAGTCTGGAGCAATTAAAGTGAGCCTTTAAATAAAGCTAGTGACGGAAGTATTTATTGTTATTATGTTTTATTGAATGTATGGGCCAACCCGCATCTCCATCTAGCAACACGTCCGCAAATTACTTTAGAAACGTCTACTCTTTTCAAGTAGTTTCGCGGCCTTATATAGAATGTGTATATTTATAGATTCGGCATTAGCTCAGTTCCGTCATTTGGTCATGTTGCCATGGTGACTTCATAGAAAGTTCTCTGTACTTCATCCTGTCTGAAAGTTATCATGATTTTTTCCAGTGTCGGACCCTTGATCAGGCACATTCCCAGACGTTTCGGCAGCAGCAATTCGTCGAAGAGACAAGGGAATAGAAAACATCCTTCGACCAATTTTCTACGCATTTCAACTACTTTAGGCTATCGCTTAACATTGTATCTGCATCTCTTTCCATTAAACAATGAAGGAGTTGTGATGAAAATGCACCATAACGTAAATTTGGTCAAGGAATGGATTTCACTTGTCTTCATATCAAAATGCAGCTTGAAACTGAGGTTGAAAAAGTTTAATTTGTGTTGCGAATTCGATGCTGAAAGAACACATGATAACAAAGACAGAGTTTGCCGTAGGGGTAAGATTAAACAGAATGAGGAGACTCTAACCACTACACAGGCCACAACATCTTGACCTTCATAACTTGCGAATCTATTTTTAGTGACCAAGTGCTTTTGCGAGGACAGTCAAAAAGCTATTGTTCCTCTTCATGATTCATTAGTAGTATCGAACCCTAATCAATCTGAACCTTCATCGATTTTCCTCTTATAGATGGTGTTTGAGAGAGGCCTGGTTAGCCTGACAGCATGTAGAAAATTTTCGCTGTACTATCTGGGTTTGAGTCCCGTTGGGGGCTGGTGAAACCCATCCTATGTCGAAATTTCAGTCCGCACTAAATGAAGACACCGTTTGAGAGTCAGAGGCTGAGGGAACCTTAAAGGCATCAGGAAAAGATTTAACTATCAGTCACTCATTGGCCTGTGCGACCCAGTATTATTACTGGTAGTATGAAAGTATAATCAGTTTTAGTTTAGGTATCAGTATTTTTCTGACAAAAGGCCCAAGTTCTTTTTAATGCTGGCATGTTATGAGACAGGCTATTGAGATTTGTAATAACTTCCAGAATTTCTTGTGCAAATATGAAGAGTTCTTCGAAGATATGAATACCAAGATTGTGTTGCTACCGGTTTGGTCGCAGCATTTTTTCGATTTATAAGAGTGGGTTGACCTCGTTGTCGCAACTTGGTCTTGTTGTCAGGGTAACTTAGTAGAACGCGTCTTGTCCGAAGTTCTCTGCCATAGTAGTTGTCTTAATTTCCAGCATCAGATCGTAGACTTGGTACATTCTCACACGTTTCGCTGACATCATAGTCAACATCATCACTGAGTGTTGCCATTATCTGCACCAAGCTAGGAACTCGTCAAAGAGACAAGTGAAGTCAATCCCTCGACCAAAGGTCTGCCAAAAGCGGTTACACTATCATTCCTCTTTCTGTCCTGCCCATCTATCTACTTTTTACCTATTTATCCAACTCCATCCCTATTACAACTTCGGACTTGCTTACATTCCACTCGTCAAAATGAGTGCCCTTTTTTGGCAAATTTAGTGTCGCCTCATCACACTTGCTATTCATCCCGAGCCCCTCTCTTTAGATCGGCTATCCGACTCGGGCCTTCTATCCAGATCTCCAACATGGTCCCATATATCCGTTTCTTATATTTTTGGTTGACAAGTTTCACTTGGTGTCTTTGACGAGTTGGTATCTTGGTGCGGAGAATAGCAACACTCAGTGATGATGTCGACTACGATGCCGGTGAAACATCTGATAATATACCAAGTCCACGATCTGATGCTGGGAATTATGACAACTACTATGGCAGAGAACTTCGGACAAGGTGCGTTCTACTAATTCACCCTGACAACATGACAAAGTTGCGACAACGAGTTCAACGCACTTCTATGAAGAATTCTTATTTTTCGTATATAAGCAGAGTTTCGAGACTACCAATAAATTAGTTATATGAGATGTATTCACCCTATTTCGTTTAAGGTTATGAAGTACTGGCGGTAGAATTTTCTCACACTGATTTGATGAGATGCTGACGTTTCCATTGAATTTCGCATAGCTTTGATTTTTCAAATGTTGTTCTTATCCAGACTGGACTGCAGTTTCTAACTCGCATAGGTCTTATCAACGCCCCCAGCGGGAGTCGAACCGTGACAGTGAAGCATGCGAGTTTGACTGTCATGGTTCAACTTCTGCTGGAGATGTTGATAAGACCTATGCGAGGTCGAAACTGCAGTCCACCCTGGATGAAAACAATTTTTGGAAAGCAAGGCTATACGAAATTCAATGGAAACTTCAGCATTTCCTCAAATCATTGTGAAAAAATTTTATTTCCAGTCCTTCGTTACCTTAAACGAAATGAGGAATCTTTTCATTTTTAGGTTTAAACTCATACGATCCAGCTAAATTACTCTTATTCTGATGATGTTTCCCTGATGTTTTTTTTCAGAACAAACCTACAATACAACTATGCATAGACAAATGCTAGCTATAAATTGACCAAATGCGTCAATTTTCAATAGCATGGTGTTGAAGCTTACCAATCTGATGGTCAAGTGAGTGACAAGATAAGACAGGCAATACTATTCCTCTGTGAAGGTTCGGAGAAGAGAATTTTCCCATAAAAAACGTATTTGTGTAATATGAGCCTCAATCTCAATCACAACCAAATTTTACCTCTATTTATATGAAATAATATCATTTCAAATAATTGCTTAGCTTTCTTTTTACACTTTAACAAATAATGGCCTCAGAATTACAACATCCTGGACTTTTACGCAGTACCAGAGACTCATGGCTTGCAGAAACTAACTATGAATATCACACCTAGGTTTGTGGAAAGCTCCTGGGGGGCCGACGGCGGCCTCAAGCTCGGGTTGGTTCAGAACCCGGCCATATTCATGAATAACTTGTCTGGTTCATCTGTTGTCAGTCTTTTAATGAACATCAGCGGAGACAGAAGTCTTTTAGGAATGACTACACCACCGATGGGGACAACCATGATGACGATAACCCCAGCCATGAAACTGACCACACCCGCGCCTACCTCCGCTCTCGTGATCGACCAGTCAAAGATGGAACTGTCTGCTGACTTACCCTACTATCTTCTCACAGATGAGTTCTACTCGATTGCACGCATCATGTTTGCCTTTAGTCTCTTCGCCTTTTATGTACGCCTGATGTACATCTTCAGCTTCAGCGTGACATTGGGCCCGACATTAATCATGATTAGCCGAATGGTAAGTGGAGGCGAAAAAGTGATACGAGCTTTCGTCCTTTTTTTTTCAAGAGAGATAATATTTTAGGCCTTGTATGCTACTGGTTGCAGGAAAATATTATATGGGGGCGAAAGTTGAACTCTAAGCATTAAAGGATAAAGGGCCTCTGAACCCTTTACATTTGGAGCTTATAGTATTGAGTGATCTATTTCTTAAATAATATGATCATAGATGAATGTCTTACGGACAATTATTATGATTAACTCGTTCTCACTTCATGATATTGAGCAAAATCTATTTTAATAAATACCATATATTACTTAAATGCTATAAAAGTAGTAAGTATTAGCGCAACAGCTGTGCATACAGATGAGTCTCTTATTACATAAATGTT